CAGAGCTGTGTTCCCTTAGGAATGAAGTACGTGGTTCGGCAGCCACTGTAAGTTGCTAAGTTAAAAAGTTAAAAACCCAATACAAGTTCAATAGTGATATTTTGGACAGTATGACACAGGCTGTGTGGGCATTGGACAATAACAAGCTTTTATATTATCGTGAACTGTTTGACAAGCTTAAACAGCGTAACAAACTTATACGTATAGCCGATACCTCAGAAGGAGGGTGGGAAACAGTTCGACAATACGAGCCCCATCCAGTAGCTAGTGATTCTGACGACGAGAGCAAAATTAGGAGGGCGGAAGCTAGAGCCGTAAAGAAGAAGAAAGATGCGTCTCGGAAAAAATCTTAGTGGTTCAAGTTTGCTGGTACTGGTATTACTAGTGGCAGTAGCGGTGTATTGGGAGGCCAGGGAGCGGTTAAGGCGGTTGGACAGCCCTTTCCTGGAAGCAGGTACCCCAGAGGTCCCGGGGGTCAGCCTGCCTACCTCAGGCCAGGGACGTCGTTACAGTTGTATGGAGGAGGAGCATGTTTCAGCTGCGGTGAATTTACACATTCCAATGGGACTGTCCTTACACAGGAGGAACAGCGGTACCAACGAAAAAATGAGAGGGCAGCGATGACCGGGGATGAAATGGAAGATGAGTATTTTACACAATTTACACGTGATTATTACGAATATGAACAGGAAGGGGGGGGGAAATTTTTGGTAAAAGGGAGGTTGAGAGAAAATTTTGATTTCTGGAAAAGTATTGGGGCTAATGAGTACATTTTAGATGTATATAAGATACCATTTTATTCAAATCCTGAAAGTTGTATTTTAAAAAATAACAAGTCTGCGTTATCTGAATCTAGTTTTGTCGAAGGAGCTATAACTGAACTTTTGCAGAGAAATCTAATAGTCAGGTGTAGTCAAATACCTCGGGTGGTCAATCCATTGACAGTTTCCATACAGAGTAAATCTAAAAAGAGATTGATTTTGGATTTACGAGTAGTAAATAAACATTTATGGAAACAGAGTGTAAAGTATGACGACATCCGTGAAGCACTGATGTATGTTCAAAAGAATTGTTGGATGTTTAAATTTGATATACACTCGGCGTATCATTTTGTCGAGATATTTTTACCACATACCGAGTATTTAGGATTTTCCTGGACATATGAAGATGGTAGAACTGTATACTATAAATTTTTGGTGTTGCCTTTTGGGTCCACTTTGGTCCAATGTGTTAAATTTTTAAACGACTTATTCCGATTAACCAAAAGTCCAGGGATCATGATGTTTGTTAAAATGTTTCTTGGGTGAAGGGCAACAAAGTTTGAGAAAAGATATTACTTTGACATTATATTCAAGGTCATGGACATTATATTCAAGGTCATGGATAAACCCTCAAATAACATCTTCTGATAACCAAAAAGGCCTTGGGTCATGACATTTTGGTCAGGAAGTCCATTGTATGGATGTTTGCCAAAGCATACAGTACATGTAGCAATACAAGCCCTTTGGGCCTCTTGGTTAGTAAGTAATATGTATTTCTTTTCAAATATTCTCAATAACTTGACAAAAATCACTATGGACAAATCAATTAATTTCCAATTTCTAAGTTAATATATTTCTCCCACGATATTTTTCATAAATTGCGACCTTTTTCATTATCTGCACAATTTTTTTCTTATTTTTTTTTTTGAAAAAAAAATTCTCATTACCGCCAGCTTGATTGAAAGTTGATGCATTCTGTATAATCCCTTACCATGATATTGTATCCGAGTTGGCAAATGTGGACTTTCTTTGCCCAGCCATTATTTTTCCATCCCCGCAAATGTATTTGTAGAAATAAAAATATTTATTTTGAAGTTACGCGCGTAATAACATCGGAACCTTTCTTACTTGTTCACTGGTATAGTGCTATCCGGAACTCCTCTCCCAAAAAATCGGAGTGACCGCCCTTGAAATGGCATGTTACTTCCGTCAAAGAAATTTACATGGACGATAAAAAATCTCCGGTTATTGAGATGTTAATCTCATGTACATATTGTGAATTTCTTGTTGCCTGTAATGTTATGCACCAAATGAAAGGTAAATATACACACTACCTACGGATACATATTGCCTTACAAGGAAATTATCATAAACTACTTTTTTTGAGCCAGTTTCCAAGCGAGGGGTCGATTTTTTAAAATCTGGAGTTGCTTGCCTTGTGTATTTTTAATGACCGTGGACCTCGGATTTGTCAACCGGCACATAAACTTGAATTCTGCTGATATTTCATTTAAATAACGTCAGTCATGAGTGCTAAAACAAAAATCAATGTTTGAAAAATAATATCCTGACCTCGAGTTCCTGTGCTCGCGATCGGGCTAATCAAACCAAACGATTTGTAAATACTACATGTATATCTAATTATTCTTTACTGTTTATTTATGTAACAGGGACATATTTTGAGAGTTTTAATTGAAATAAAGAATATGTGATATTGTATGATTTTTCCGATTGTCCAACGTGTTGTGTATCGCGTCCGTTATATGCCGTCCATATTAGTGCAGCTATGTATACATGTACGTTCCGTATGTATTGTACTTTGTAATGGTACTGTCCGAGTGTTCAGTCTTGGTGTGACGTCCTGTAGTTTCATTGGTTGTTTGTATTGGGCAGTTGGCAGGAGTTTCTTTGTGTGAGAGAGAGATTTTAGTCGGTGTCGGACATCTTGACAGGACTAGATGTAAGTCTTTTACCTTTTCTAACCTTATATTTTCACTTATTCTTTCTATAATATCTATTGGTTGAAAGGGAAAATCTCTGACCGCCCTGTGCATATCAATCGTTTAAAGATCGCTCACATCCGTGCACCTACTCCTTCAGACTTTTTCCGAAGTGTAACTACGTGTAAAGTTGATGCTGGCATACAAACTGGCCGTCTTGGTGAGCTCGATCAACCTTTGTCGGCTTCTGCTGCTTGTAACTCCTCTGACAGTGAATCTGAGAATATTTCTGTACAAGGAAATCCATCCAGACAGTTGCCACTTCCTAAGGAAAGCTTATCCGACACCACTACCTCTGTATATCATATTACTCGTCCTACTCGTCAGATTCGGAAACCAGTGCGATACCGATCTGAGGACAATATTGATCCAGATTCATTATCTTCCTCTGAAAGCTCAACAGATAAACACTACAAGATCAGACGAGTGCTCGCACAAAGAGGATATGGTTCAAACATTGAGTATCTTGTACATTTTGTTGGTGAGCCCTCAGGCAAAGCGATGTGGGTTCCTTTTCAATCGCTTAATCGCCCTGCACAACGTGCTATTCTTGCGAAATCTAGATTTTTCTAGAGTTGTTTTATGCCTTTACCTTTTGACATTGTACTTTTTTTGTCTACCTCACATTTTTTTTATCAGGCCATCTTGTACCAGACTTAGTCTTGTGGTTAAATTTACTAGATCATTTTGGACATTGTCATGTAAGACTATTTGTCATATAACACTAATTGTGTCAATTTCATCTTGCCAGATGCATTATTGTAGTAATTGTCTTTAATCCAATTTTTCGAGATAAGATTTTCTAATTTTACATGCTTATTCTGCACAGATAGACAAACGTATGGTGTTTTATGTCTAAAAACTAAAATGCTGTATGTCTTTAATGTTGATCTAGTTTTCATCTCTTTGATTCTAGTCAAATGTATTTTCATGTATTGATTCTAGTCATATGAATTTTCATGTGTTGTTTAAAAGTTCTCAATGGTATATTTTCTATATTGAATGTAATTGTCTTTCGGTTGTTTTCCATTTTTTTTTTCCTCTTAAGAATACATTTATATGTTAATTACTACTGCATTGAAATTGATTTCAAATGATTGCTATTGAATAATCCTGTGTGGTTCTTAACCAGTGGATGAGATTTTACAAATAATTCAACTTTATAGTATGAAATCACAAAGTTTTCCACATGAATCTGTAGTGACTATTTACTTATGATCTTGTATGAAATGATTATGATTGCCAGCAATAGAATGTAACAATGTAATTCACTATGAGGTTATACAAATCCTGCGCAATTTGATTTCATTATGTGTTGCGGGCGAAACTGTGAGTGTAACTACCTAGTGCACAGGTGATTGTAAGAGATGTTTGTGGTAACATATATTCAATGTCTTATTGTCAGTTTTTGAAATTTTTCATTACATTACTATTATAACCTGGTTTGTCCTGTATGGAAAAAAATCTGTCATTTATCCTGCAATGATCATGTTTATACACTCAGTTTCATAATATTGTGTCATGCTAGTGTGCATCATTTGATCTCTGGGAATAACATGTATACCTTGATCAATTTTCTTCATAAGGTTTATAATATGTCATTAATTGTATCTTTTTGCTGATAATGCTTCCCTATATCAAATTTCCTTTAATTCATGTATTCTAATTAGGATAGAATTCCATATATTGTGTTCCTTTATCGTACACTTGCTGACCAGTGTCTTCCAAAATTGCTTGCAATTTTTTTCCTGTGGGGCGGGGATGTTGTATACATCTATATAACTGGTCAGGTAGTGTAAGATAATTGACTAGTTCCGGATATTTGACCCGGCCTCCGGATCCTTGTTTTCGTGTTTATATGTGTGTTGTTGTTTTCCGTAGAATAAATTGGCGGTAAAGTGAAGACAGCGTGGTTTTCTAATCTGTGATGTATGGGTTTTATCGTGCCTCTCATAGCCAAGCAAACGGGTTTCCCCTGCACCCCCATAACACTGAGGGCGAGTTTCTTGTGATAATCACTGTTCACTACTGATCGATATGTATAGGACAGTAACGATATATCGATACTACGATAAATATCTTTATTAGGGCCCACGATTCGATACACGATACATAAGGTCAGAATCGCGATACTGTTTAATGTGAAAAAAATTTGAGTTATCGCCCTTTGCGCGCTCTTCAAATGGCACATAAACGTGCGTCGGACGTATCCAAGGCTTAGATAAGTGCACCGAGAAACATGGCGAATAAAATATCGTCTGCACCAGCCGCATTCAAATCACCGGTTTGGCAACATTTTGGTTTTCCTACAGAAACTATCGACGGGAAAGAGGTAACCAATAAACAATTAGCGGCTTGTAAATTATGTGATTACAAAACGAAGTACACCGGAGCGACGACAAACCTTTCAACTCATTTAAAAAGACATCACCCTGAAGTTGACATCGAGTCTCGGACACATAAATATGCTGAGAGTAAACGAAAATCAACTAGCGAAAGCGCAACACATAATCCTAAACAATCAAAACTGAGTGAAGTGTTTTCAAGGCCACTACGTTTCAATTGTGACCGTGCAACGGCAATAAGTAGGTCAATTGCAAAATTTATTGCGATCGATTTGAGGCCCTATTCAATCGTAGAAAATGCGGGATTTAAAGCGATGATCAAAACATTGGAACCGAAATATAACATTCCATCTCGACCGTACTTCAGTAAAACACTTATACCTCAGCTTTATGAAGAAACAAAATCGTCTGTTCTTGATGAACTTAAAACTGCCAGTCATGTTGCCATCACCACAGACGGCTGGACTTCACGTGCTGTCGATAGTTATATAACAATAACTGCTCATTACCTCTGTGAGCACTTTGAAAACTGGGAACTTTGTAATCGTGTATTACAAACCAGGGTAATTCATGAGTCGCATACTGCAGTTAATGTGGGTGCAGTTCTGTCTAGTGCTATTACTGAGTGGGGCTTGGCAAGATTAAATGGACAGGTACCTGTTGTTACTGACAACGCCAGTAACATGGACGGAGCTGTTAGGGCTGTAGGGCTGCTGGACTGGGGCCGAATATTAAGTGCTTTGCACACACTATTAACCTAGCTACACAAAGAGGCCTGGGCATAGGACCGATGAAAACACTTTTGGGCCGTGTAAAAAGGATTGTGGCATTTTTTCATCGCAGTTCAGTTGCTAATAGTTTGCTGAAATCCAATCAAAATCTACTAAAACTTCCTCAGCATAAACTAATTATCGACGTTCAAACGCGATGGAATAGTAGCTACGACATGATGCGAAGATATTTAGAGCAACAACCAGCAATCACTGCAACCCTTATGAGTGCTGATGTGAGAAAAAATGCTAAGGACCTTGACACACTCAGAGAAGGAGACATTACAAACCTGGAAGATGCTGTCACCATTTTAAAAGACATGAAGGACATTACAACTGTGTTGTGTGATGAAAAGCAGCCAACAGTTTCACTGATCTTTCCCTACAGAATCTTCATTAATAAGACAAATGAAAGTAGCAATAAGAGATGACATGAAGCCAAGGTATGAGAATCCTGAAATTGAACAATTTCTGATCATAAGTTCAGCAATGGACCCTAGGTTCAAATCCCTTCCACAGTTAAATGAAGAGAGGAGGCATGAGGTTAAAGATGCAATTATACTGAAGGCTGTATCTCAGGTTTGTTAAAATTCTCTCTCGTGAATATGTTTTACAATCTTACCAACATACTAAAAAAATCGATTTTCCAAAATATTGTATCTGTGGTTTTGATTTTTTAAAATTACAAAAAATGTTACATGTTATAAATCACTATGACTAGTAAAAATACTTCATTACCTTCTTAGTATTATGAATTTAATTTATGCAATTTCAATTTAGAATAATTAAACTCAAATAATTTTTTTCACAATTATTGTGATTACATGACAGTATTAGTACACAACAAATAAAACAAGAATTTAATACAACATTTTATTCACCATTTCATTTTATTTATCATTTCACAATAAGTAAAGTACTTCAGTACAGTACTACAGTAAGGTAAGTTTAGGGTATAACTCATAATTCAAATAATTTAAATTATAGAATTATTTATTTCATGCAATACATAAATTAAAATTATATTTTCAACATTTTCAGTTTTGACAATGTTCTGTATTAATCACAGCCTTATTTTTCTTTTACAGAGTAATGACAAGCCACACATCAAGTCTGAACCAGTTGACAGTCAACAGCCTGAGGCTTCAGAGCTACCGGCTCCTAGTCTGCCAGAACTTCCTTCTATCCCTCCACCACCTGTGTCTTCTTACTCACCTGAGCCAACTGCTTCTGGAACAGGGTCTACAATTAAGAACTTATTTGGGGATGTGTTCATAGTTAAAACTGAACCAGGAAACAAATCACCACTTGACATTGCCACTGATGAAGTACATGCCTACTTCAGAGAGCCAACTATCTCACTTGACAGTAACCCATTAAAATGGTGGGCTGATAATCACTACAGATACCCACTGCTGTCGAATGTTGCTAAATATTATCTAACAGTTCCAGGTACAAGTGTCCCAAGTGAGCGTATCTTTTCTACAGCTGGGGATATTGTAACTAGCCAGCGTAGTTGTCTTGATCCAGAAGATGTTGATCATTTAATCTTCCTAAAAAAAAAACTTACAGCTGTAATTATTTTGGTGCCAGATGTCAGTTATAAAGTCCTGATTTGTGAATAGACCTTTCAGCAGTGTTTTGATTTTTGAACCTATCAGACAGATTCAGACTAGTTAAAGCTGTGTTAATTTTTTGTGTTTTTTAGACATTAAAAATTGTCAAAAAGAAATGTTTTTGTCACTTTTTGATAAAGCCCAAATGTATCGCGATACGTATCGTATCGTGGGTGTTGTATCGAGATACGTATCGTATCGTGAGAAAAAGTATCGTTACAGCCCTAAAGTTCATATCTGTGAAAAGATAAAGAAAGCGAATTCCATGTTTGCAATAATAAGGAGATCATTCCAACATCTAGATCCAGAAATATTCACCCCACTTTATAAGAGTCTGGTGCGGACCCACCTTGACTTTGCCAGTCCAATTTGGTCTCCTTATAAAATAAAATATATTGAAAAAATAGGAGTGCAAAGAAGAGCAACAAAACAGATCCCTTGTATGAAAGGTCTAAGCTATGCAGAGAGACTTCGTCAGCTGAAACTTCCAACACTAGCATATAGAAGGATCCAAGGGGACATGTTAGAAATATATAAGATACTCCACGAGCATTATGACCCAAGGGCAAGCAATGTGATTAAACTTTGGAAGGATGTAACAGAAAGGCAAGGACAAAGGGGCAACTCGATGAAAATATACCCTCAACACAGCAGTTCAGAAATACGGAAAAACTACTTCACACTTCGAGCAGGAAAGATATGGAATAACCTACCTGAAGAAATTGTGACAGCGCCATCGAAAAATACATTTAAAAACAGACTGGATAAATACTGGAAAGATCAAGAACTATTATATGACAATTACAAAGCGGATATAAAAATGATAGGAAGTGGCGAAACAAACCTTAAATGGGACGAGGAAAAGGAGTCTGGTGAAGAGGACTAAAGTCCTGTACCGGAAACTATCGCTAAGTAAGTTATGATTTGAGGGTTACAAGTTGTTTCATGATCAGGAGCCGGCCATAAAGTCATTCCAAAAACACCATGTGCTTTTCAAGATGGAGGTTTATTCAGATCATTACAATATATACTACATTACACGTGTAGAACCAAGGTACATAGACTGAACCTAGTAGCGTACTTCGCCTAGGTAATTCAACTTACATCAGACGAACATAGCATACTAATGCTTATAATTAAGCATATTAAATTTACTGATATTATCTTACAATAACACATGTGTTAGACATTGTCGAGTTTTACCGCCATTACAGGTTGACGAAACTCTAACGAGTTAACTTGTCATTGCGCAGGCCTCCTACAAATATTCGAGCACAACAATACCAATGCGATAATTATCACGACTAGTCTTATTAAGACGTCTTACCATGTTGTTATCTTGACGAGTCGTGTTAATATGACGACTTGTCGCGATAAATTATCACAACACGCCAAGTAGATGACTGTTATATGCCCACCATATTAATGTGTCCGAGTTTCCCCCCCTACTTTGTAAGAACGACTCGTCCCAAAACACGGGTGAAGCGTCCCATTATCCAGGGCGAGCAGGTATATATTTCGGTACTATGACACAGTATGCACAATGAAGAAGAAAAAAATAATATACATCAAGACTTTGTTTGCTATTTTGTGATATGTTTTGCTCGAACTGTCTGATTGAAACTTTCCAATAAACCGACTATTAATGTAAAAATATTAGCGAGATATCGGGGCAAAATGTCTGGATTGCTTCAAGACTCCCCCACCTATCTCGCCCCAAATATTATCCATAACGTCCCATATTTAGAACTATTTGCCCCAACATAACTTATCGCGCCTACTATTTCGCCACTATGCGTTACCAGAAAAAGAAAAAAAACATAACATAACATGTTAAATGAAACAAATTTATGAAGTTTGAGTTAAATATAATCAAATTGTGCTTAGAGATCATGTTACTGGGGGTTCACTTTATTTGAAACATCGCACGCTGATTTTTGGTTCATTCAATGTTTATTAGACCCCTACATAAAATCAATACTATATTCACTTACTATATCACCCGTACACATTTAACGATCTCATGGACATTCAAGGGACACAACTGTAACAATAATTTGGCATTAAAAGCAATAAAAACGACAAACCCGCCAGATTAACCTTATTTAACGATTCTAGTCCTAGATATAATTTTAGATTATACAATTTAGACAACGAGAGATAATTTAACGAGTTATTTACTAATATAACAATGAAATAATGTAATTGTAGCGGGTTTATTTTGTATCATAAAAGACAAAACCGCTGGGTTCTTCTCCAAAATTTAATCATTTGATCGATGTAAATTAAACACTCTGAAATATACAATATAACGTAATCAAACACTCTCAAATTCACAAATCTCTCGTTACATACTCATTACTCAACAATTCATACTTCTTTCATAGACTTGTTACATTTCACATAGTCGAACTATGTCATTACTTTTACACTTGAATAAAATATAAGATTCAATAAAATACTTCTAATAACATAACTTGCCAACTTTTTGAAATTCTCATGGGGGAGAAAAGTACGTGAACGACATTTTCAACTCGGTCGCTCAGTTTCGCGTTTTCAGGAATAACCACATCATCATGAATTTGCATAATCCAGTACTGTTTTATCCTGCAATAAGCCCATGCCATATAATAAGGCCATCCATGTCTTTTTCAGAGATTTCAAAATTCACTGCCCTACATAAACTATTCCTGCATTCTGCAACAAGCTCACCCCTACATATTGTTCAATATCACTAAACACTGGCTTCCTGGGCTTATTGCAGGGTAAATACAGTAAACGTTCCAATCAAAGCATTTGAGATAAATCTAGTATAGACCTACAGAAATAACAACATTTGATGTTTTAGCTATTTGTTTCATTTAACAAATTTGATCAATTCTTCTACAACAGAATTGAGAAATTAATGTGATTTATTTGCATCAAATGTTGTTTCTTTCTGATGGAAAATTTAAAATAACCAGACAAGTGCAATTGGTTTTTAAGTTTTTAATAATCAAATCTTGGATTGATATTGAATGCTTTTTTGTAGAAATAAATTATATCAAAATAGAGATCTCACTCTGACTCTGAACACAATTCCATAAAAAAAAAAAAAAAACAATCACAACAACCACACAATATAATCTTGCATCCAAACCATTAGAAACATGTCACTAATTTAAATAATTTAATTTTAATTTATTTTCCATAGAAACTCCGTCTAATCTCTGAAGATAGAGGGGGAACATGACAGTTCCTTATTGTAGCTAACACATGCAGACTTCGCGGTCGCTAAAGTCGTTGTCGATGGCTTATAGTTGTAGCAGTCCTCATCCCTGTTCAGCTTGCAGGTCAGTAAAGCTGACAAAGTTGACTGGTCTAAAAGTGATCTTT